TTGCACTGCACAGTCAGAGGATGCTGGGGCCCGTGGAGAGATGCACGGCAGCCAGGGAGTGGCATGGCCAAGCAGGACCTCAGTGTCAACTCCTCACCTCTTTGCTCCCTCCATCTCAGAAACACTGGCTTATGCCTCCGAGAAAGCCTTAGGCACTCGCCAGGAAACAGCTGTGGTTTTTGCTCATGCTGCCCCTTGCCCTGCAAATTCTCCCAACTCTCACAAAGGCAGATCCAGCCACTCCCAAGGAAAGGATGCTTTGTAAATGCAGAGCACCCCAGTTGCATGTCCCAAGAACTCAGAGTGGTGAGGCCTGTTAGGAGTGGCTCCTCCTCTCAGTGGCCTGGAGCAGGGTGCTGGTGCTGGTGACGGGGTGCTTGGGAAGTACTTCCAAGCGGTCATATAGTGCAAGCACCTGCTTCCCACCCCCGCCGCCCTAGCCCAACATGTCCAGCTCGAGACAGACAGATGTCCATGTTCTGAGACTCCACTCTGACGCTGGGGAGAATCACATCTCCTTGCAGTTGTGTGTGTGTCTGTGTCCCATTGGTTGCACATTACTGGGGACCCAGTCCCCAGCAATATCAGAATTGGAGGTGAGGCTGGGAGAAAGCTCACTAGTTCCTGGGCTTGAAACGTGTCTCCCCACTTAGTCACTGCCATCACGTGCTCACTTGAATATCTGCCACATCCTGGCCCTGTAAGACTGCCTGCTTGCCACGTGAGCACAATAGAAAGTCAGAAATAACCCTTCGGTGCACCTCTGTTCTCCGTTCTACAAAATTCACCTTTCTAAAGGAGAAAGGCTTGACCCAGACAATAATTCCTTTGCCAGAGGGGGGAAAAATGTGCTTTCATTGTCAGGGTAAGCATTCTCCATGACCCTCAGCTCACTGGCTCTCAATGGTAGGACATCAGAAAATCACCTTGCCGCGGCCCTTTACCCCAGGAAAGGATCAGCACAAATGTGCTATCTGATCCTGTGGCACCATGGGGAGTCTTGAATTAAAACAGTTCAAAGCCCTTTTTGCTGCCTCACGATTTGGCCATCTTTCCCCTTACGCAGTAAAATCTCCAAGAGTTGGGGATTTATGATCCTTTGGATAAGGACTGGGCTGATGCCTGCTTCTGTGTGATTCTGTACAGGAAGTATCTTTGAAGAAAGTTAACTGCTTGCCCAAAGCGGGGATATCAACTCTATTTCAGGGGGTTGCAGTTCTAGCCCTTTTACCAGCACAAACAACTGATAGGATCATCTCATTTCTTTTTCCTGTTCTTTATGTCTGCACCTACAGTTTCTCATCAATAATAGGATTCTTTCTATTTTGTCCAGTCTCAAACTGACTGGGTTTCTCACTGAGCCAAAACTTTGTAGGTGCAAACTCTCCTAGATTAAGCAATTAACAATGGGAATTATGCTCGCGTCCGGCACAAAGACTAACCATTTCTGGTGGGCATGTAGAGGGGGTGGCTACACCTCAGGTGCCTCAGTCATCTGTTAGCTTCCTTCCAGCTGGTAGAGCATGAGATTGGATTATGGCAACAACTCTGAGAAGTCTGAAATGTCCCCTGTTAGGACTTCCATCCTGGCATATTCACTAATGATACCCTCTTCTCATCATTCAAAGACAACTTGATAGGAACTATAAATCACATCACTGCTATAGATTTGATGAGCCTAAGGAAATAAAAATTCCTGATTGAGTTTGAGCCTTTTTTGTGGGCTGGCAGGACCTGTTCCTCTCTATACTAACAACAACAACAACAAATCTTGGTAAGGATGTTGTTCCAATCAATTCTAAATCCAGATAGTTCTTCATCAGCCCTCCATCCAACCCAACCAGTGAGATCAGAAAGCAGCTAACTTTCTCCCCAGGGAAGCGGACTGTGGGACTAACTTCTGCCCGGTGCATGTTAATTTCAATGTCCTTGACCCTTAGGGGGCTGAACTCCCACAGTTTTGATTGTCACTATTATCGGAGAGAGAAACGAATAAGCAAGGAAATACTATGCTGACGAAGCATTCTTTTTTTTTTTTTTTTTTTTAGGCCAGGCCAGGTTTTCTGTAGTGGGAGTCGGGGACGGTGCGAATGGTGTTTTGCTTGACTCGATTATTCACACATCACAGTCTGGGGCTGCTACTGCTTTTATTTCTGAACAAGCAGGTTCAGTCAGTCCAGGGGACTCATCCAGCAAAGGACACAACCAGGAGAAGAATATGAATCATCTTACGTTCCAGTGCGAACTCCTAACCACTATAACACACTGTCTCCCACCCCACTGCACTGAGCTGGAACTCTGCCTGCAAAAGGACACATCGTAAAGTGACTGCTTCCTCCAGGATGCATCGTGGGAGGGAAGAGGAGGGGTGCAGAGCAGAGAAGACAAGGGAGGGGGCTTCCACGCTGGGTTGGCAGATTTTGCTTAAAGTGCAATTGTGATACACGTATACTGCTATGAAACCAACCAACCGACTGCAGGCTTCTCGCCTGTTGCTGAAGGAATATTTACAGACTGACTTAAAATATCCCAAAGAAGTTGATTTGGGGGAGGGTACCACCTATAAATGAATAAGTGTGTAACCAACAGATCAGGCGGGTGGATCGACAGCCCTCTCCCACCTTCCTGCTGACAACCACTTGGGCTGCTCTTGCTACGTACAAGCCAGCAGACAGCTGACCCATGGAACTCCACATTTCAATGGGAGCGACACTCCTGATGGCCTCCAGAGAGGAAGTCATGGGGGCTCAGCTGATGGTCTGCCAGTGTCCATGTTCTTCCAAGAACTCTGTCTTCAGAAGCAAAGTGAACTAAGCAGACTGCAGGCTTAGATGATTACAATGGAAAGGATTCAGGCTTCAGAGCCAGTTTGTTAACAGGTAACTCTCAAACCTAGCCTTTTTTTTTGTTTTTGAGGACCTAAATGGAAAAAAAAAATGCTTCCCGTTCACTCTACTCTGAAGCAGGAGTAACAGCTATTGAGCTAGAATGTGTTCTGCAGAGAGGCCACGCCTATCATGGAAGTATCAGCAGCCTCTTTCCAGCAGGATATAAGCTGGTAACTTAAGTGCTCAGACTTTTACTATAGCGATGGCTTCCAAGGGCTTCTAGGGTTTAAAAAGGCACCAAAACAAGAAAGAAGAAAACACTTAGCAGAGTGGCAGGGGTGGGTGCCTACTGAAAAAGTCTTCGGCAGACTCAACCAGAAGGAGCACAAAGCTACAGCAAGCATGAGAGCTGGGAGATCTTCCAGCCAATGCACAGGACTCAGATGACCAGGAAGGAAAGCGACAACGAACAAAGGGGAAAAAGTGCCAGCTAGGTTGGACGGGAGGCTTTTCGGAATTCCAACACCATCAGAAATCTGTTCTCTCCCTGAACCCGAGACAGACTCTGACTCAAATGCCATGCTTCCAGTTTCCAAATGAAATTTTCTATAGTTCCTTCTCCAAGGACATTTTCTTTAGCCAACACAGCCCCTGCCTGAGTTGCCAACAGCCAGTGCACTCCAAAGGTGGCGCGGATGGCAGGGACCCAGGAGCAGAAAAAGGCTCACGTCAAAACTCTCCTGCCTGGAGAGACTCCCTCCAGGCAGGGGAGCACTCACTTGTTTTTAGATGACACTGGGGGTAATTGTGCTGCTCTCCAGCCTGTGTCAGTGGGGATCCCCTCCTCTCCCACCCACCAATGCTGGCAGCAGCCTGCTATGCCCTGCCCTGCTCCTTCTCCATTCCCCTCCTACGATGGCACACCAACGACCTCTGTGAGCTTCCTTGGACTGGGACAAGTTCACCAGTGTGGGTCTCATTCTGATGTGATTCACTGATATGAGTTCCCCAGCCTATACCTACGGGAAAGTTCAGATGGAGCGACTGCCAAGACCAGACGTTTTGCCCAAAGCGCTTTTCCAAGACATGTTTTCCAATTTAATCTCGAACACAACCAGTCAGGGTTAATACATTCTTTCCCCTCCCCTTAGAGGAGTCCCTCCCTCTGGGCCACTTCTTTATCTCTCACCAAATCACGCATTCATCCAACACCAGCCAAAGATTGAGTTCTCACACAGCCTTCATCTTCCCTGACACACAGGGCAGGGTCTCCTTCCTTCCATTCCCAATCTCCCCCTAAACTGAACGACTTAGGGAAAGAATCTGTTTATCTCTGCCTTGGAACACTGCTGTCTCTTCCAAACTCTTCTTTCTTCCTCCCCACACCCTTCACCTCTCCCTTTTTCTGCCTTCCTTGTTCCTTCTCTACCTGTGTTGCCCCCGGTCCCATCACACCTTCTCCCTGCACACCACCCAACTAAACTGGTGCTTAGTTCCTGAGCTCCATACAATCAGAAGAAGCCAAATAAAGCTCCCAGGAGCATCTTCACGATCTTGGGAGGCTCCTCCTAGAATTCCTCTAGAATTCAGAGTCCTGCTTTGGGAAGCTGGGGTGGTGGGGAGCAAATTCAGCAGCAGTAGCAGCAGCCAGAAGGGCGTGGAGGAAGGTGCTGTTTGGGGTGGATGTGGGGGAACAGCATATGGGCTTTTTGTCTAAACGTTGGAGCTTGCTCGTTCCCTGGGCTCTGAGCTGAGGGTGGAAATGTGAATGCTGCCCTTACAGAATCGATCCTCATCGTTACAGCACACCCCAACCATCTTGGGTCTGCCATTCTTTTACCCCCAAGGGTCCTTTGAGTTCTCAAATCCAGAAAAGTTTCTCAAGTCCTACCCTGACTGTACCACCTTCACGCTAAGAGGCACAAAACGCCTTGGACAGGAACTCTAGGTCTACTGAGAGTTGCTCCCCCTCGGAGAACCGCCAGCTTCCGTCTCACGCAAGCAATTAGTCCCCAGGTTCCGGCGGGGATACCCAATAGTGATGAAAAGCCAGGCGCCCTGGCCCAGCTGCCAGTACGCACCCTCTCAAGGGGTTCCAGAGCCCAAGCCAGAAAGGGGAGGCGGGACCTTCAGGGTCCCCCATCCTTCCCATCTTAAGAAAGAGGTCATTACCTCGGCAGCGGCTTCCGGGCAGTGATGCTGGCGACAATGATGCTCTCGGGACGGGGGGTGGCCACCGCTTTGAAGGTTCCTCGCCAGAACTTCTCAAAAAGCTGCTTCTCGCCTTGCTGAACGCTGGCCATGGCCAACCCGGAGACTGCCGGGGCGCCCGGGCGCTGTCCAAAGTGCTGAAACGGCCCCCGGCTGGGTGCGTGGCAGAGACCCAGAGGGGTGGGGTGGGAGAAGAGCTTGGAGTTGGGGCGGGGAATGGGGCGCCCAGGCTACGAAGCAAAAAGGTTCCTCTGCCGGCTTTCTTTGTCCGCAGCCTTTGGCTCTGGGCTGCTGTTCTGAACTGGCGAGCTTCCGCGCACCCCAGGAAGGGCCAGGAGAGCTGGCTTTCCGGGGAGTGTGGAGAGAGCAGAGGCGACCCGGTCGTCCGTGTGTGCGTGCGCGTGTGAGCTCCGGCGCGCCCGGGTTTTGTCTCTCGCACAATGTGACGTTGGACCAGGAGGCTGGTCGCGCGAGCTGCACTTTCCTCCCCCCACTTCTCCTCTCCGCCAACCCTCTTCTCTTCTGGCTCAGCCTGCCGCCGCCATCTGCATAACAAAAGCCCGCAGGTCTTGGGAGGAGAAAGGGCGGGGCGTGCTCCCGTCACCAGGGCCCCGCGGCCACGGAGTTGCAGAGCTGACCCCACTGAGGAGCCAGCCCGGCACCACGACCTGAACCAGGCAGGAGATTTCGCTTCTCAGCCCTCCCTCTTCCTTCATCATCACAGGCCTTCCTCTCCCAGCTCCCAACCTCTTCCCTCGCCCCAGCAGCCCCCATCCTGGCGTGCGCGCTGGGAGCCGGCCACCTCCCTTCACTGCCCCTTTCTAAGTCCTGAAGCAGATCCTCTATTGAAGGAAGGGAAAGTGAAAAAAAACTTAAATCTGACGCGCCCATGCCAACCTGCCCCCAAACCATGCTTCTGGGAGGCTCCACCTAGGCCGAAAAACAGTGTGTGTGTGTGTGTGTGTAGGGGGGCGGGGGGGGGGGAGTATCCCAGTATTCCTTTCTGGGTTTCCTGCCACCCAGAAAGTGTCGTTTGATGGACAATCCATTGCTGACTCCTCGCCATCTGCCGAGTGGAGACCCCGCCCGCCCGGGCGCAGTGCTACATCTGTGCCTGTCGCGCGGTCAGGACTGTCTCTTTTGTGTCTCCCAGTCGGCCTGTCCAGTGTCCCCGCTGTCAATCCACTCCAAAGGGGACAGTACCCCTCCCACCCCAGCATGGGGGTGGGAGTCTCGGAAAAGAAAGCGTTTACAATGAGAACTGAGGCTGTCCTGGAAGCAACTACTTCTCCTCTGTCCCTCCCACGTCTGTCACTTCCCCCCTCCACCCGCAGTAGGAACCTAGTCCTGGTAAGAGGAAAGTCCAGAATCCAGATAAGCCACCACCGAGAATTTTGGTACAATTTCTTCTGTTTTGTCCTCCAAGGAGGTTTTGAAGGGGAGGAGGTCCTTCCAGGACCCCTCGGCCCATCTAGCCCTTGGAGCTTTTGGTCCTTGCTGAACTGCTGCTTCCTCCCAGGGGCCAGGCTGTGAACTCCGGGGAGGAGGCCTCCCTGCGTCTCAGAGGTGTTCAAGCCTCTGGCACACAGATCCAGCCTAAGCATAACAAAGCCATCCCTCGTGCTGGTGGTCAGGGTGGGATACCAGTGGGGACTTCGGGAATTCTTCAGAAGGGAAGAGGAAAGTGACAAATGAGGGGAGGTGGTAGTGAGCAAGAGGAGAGGGAAGAACCCCGGAGACGTGGAGTGTTGGCCTGGGAGAATGTGTTTGGGTTTGGCTTTGTCCTGTGTTTACGCTAAGTGCCAGTGTCGGAGCGCACCGCTCACTCTGCACTGACCCCTTCTGGCCGACAAGGAGAGATGCATTTGTTGGTGTCTGGAGTTGCAGAGGTAGGGGTGAGGGCTGAAATTTTGGGGAGTGCCTAGGCTGGCTCTATCCTTCTCTCCTCCATCACTTCCCTCAACCTGCACTCCTTGCTAAAAATCTCTCACTCAGGCCCTGTTTGCACCCTGAAGTTGGCATTGTTTAAATGCAGGTGAGGGCTCCTCCCCTAAGCAGCCTGGGATATTTTAAGCTCTCCTGGGCTGCTACTTCATGTTTATGGTAGGAATAGAGTCATTTGCTGTTACTGTCATCCCACATGGGCTCAGAAGTGGAGTTCTGGGTACTCCATCTTTGGTCCAGCTCTCTGAGCTCACGTGCCTAGGAAAGCAGCAGCAGATGGTCCAGGTCCTTGGGCCTGGCACTCACAGAAGGAGACCTGGACAAAGACCCAGACCCCCGACCTCAGACTGGCCTTTGGGAAGTGAGCCAATAGGTGGAAGACCTCCTTTGTCTTTCTGTGTCTCCCTCTCTGTCACTTTGCCTTTGAAATAAATTACATAAATCCTTAAAAAAAAATATGAGGAAATTCAGATCTGGAATATCCAAGGGACTTGGATTCTGTAGGGAACAAAGAAAGTTTGTGAAAAGTAGTTTCTGTTTTAGCTTGGGAAAGCTGGGAAACTTTAGGATATTAAGCCTATCTCAGGATAGGACTTTGGGGAAAAAAAAAGAAAAGCAAAAAACAAAACAAAACAAAACAATTCTCAGATTGGGACCAGCATGATGGCTCAATTGGCTAGTCCTTCACTTTCCAGCCCACTGGTTCATGTGCCAGCTACTCCACTTTCTGTCCAGTTTCCTGTTGGGACCCGGGAAAGCAGTAGAGCAGTAACTCCTCTGCATGATCTGCAAGGCTTCCATAATCTGACATATCTGTCCTTGAACTAGACAGTCAATCCAAATGACCTACCATGTGCTCACAAGCTGCATTTGATGGCGTGCCTCTGAGCCACTGAAAACCGTGCCCTCTGACCTGTGTAGCCACGTGAGCAATGCTGGCCCTGGACACCTCGGATCACGTCATCTCAGAGGGTGGAGCTCACACTGCCCTTTCATAACCACAACAGAAGAGTCCCCAGAGCTGTGGCTACTTCACTTGGTCGCTAATCTACTGAGAACTACTTGTCATAACGCCGACTGTTACACCCTCGAAAGAAGGCTCCATATCTAATTGTACTTGGGTCACCTGCTACAAGATTATCACACTGCAAGAATCCAGTTAGTACTTGAAGAATAAATACACTTAACATATACAATATTTATCCATAGCAATATTCATGTTACCCCACCTGACAGGCAGAAAAGCATCATTTCACACTTACATGTTACACATGACTACGTAACATTTGCACTGTACTTACTGGTATTGTGGCTATTCGTTCAATTGTATTTACTAATAAAGGAAAAGGACTATAATTTCTGTGCACTACAAGTGTATTATATATAAATTAGACTTTACATATTAGCAATATAGCATTATTAGTAGCTAATATTTAGTACATACAGTACTCACTTGGTATTAGGCATTGTTCTAAGGGCCTCACAAATATCAACCCAAAGCTCACAACAGCTTAAAGGATTAGGGCCTACAATTAACCATATTTTATTTAAAAAGAACACTGAAGCACAGAGAACTGGAGCACCTTATCCAAGGGCGGGGGGGGGGCGGTGTGTTAAGGCGGCACCGAAATGCCTACATCATGTATCGGAGGGCCTAGGTTTGTGTCCCAGCTCTGCCTCCAGTTCCAGCTTCCTGCCAAAGCACCCCCAGGGTGAAGACTCAAGTACTGTACCCATACTGAGTTCTGGGCTCCATCCTGGAACAGAACCAACAGCTGCAGTCATTCAGATATTTAGACATTTAGACATTCCTGCCCCCACAACCTCTTACTCATTCCCCTCCTCAAAAAAAAAAAAAAACAAAAAACAAAACAACCCTTCAAAAAAGGTAGCCTGAACACATGAACACATGAACCCAATCAGTCTGACTTGTGGAGTCTCTACTGAGTCATCTGAATTTACTGTCTCTGGTATGATTGATGGCCAAAAATGGCAGTCATCCGTGGGCCTGGCTCTCTGATGGGGCCACAATGGGTCATGCTTCCCAAGAGCTTACAGTGTAGATGGGAATAGCAAAGGCTCTGTCAAATCAACAAATCGTTTTTTTAAAAGCCAGGCTTCAAGGAAGAACTGAAGTGAAGCTAGGTACAAGGGGGAATTAACCGGTTGGAGTGTAGGAGGTAAAATCTCTCTGGGAGCACAGCATTAAGCCGAGACCAAGAATGAATGAGAGGCACTGGGGCTGTGGAGGAGGTGAGGGCGTTTCAGGAAGAGAGTTCAGGAGGTGCCCAGGCCATGTGCTGGCCCAGAACAGCCACACCTGGAGAACATGGTGTTGGAGGGGAGCAGGAGAGATGGGGTCCATGCACAGTGTCCCACACAACAAACTGGGAATTTTAGTCTCATTTTTCCAGAACTTTTCCTCTTTCAGTCCTTTTCTAAACAGGAAATACGAGTTCTTTAAAAAAAAAAAAACCTGCCATTATCATATCCAATATTAAAGTTTGGTGAGGGCCCAGTGCAGTAGTCTAGTGGCTAAATTCTTGCCATGTATCTGCCAGGATCCCATATAGGTGCCAGTTTGTGTCCTGGCTGTTCTGCTTCCCATTCAGCTCCCTGCTTGTGGCCTGGGAAAGCAGTCAAAGACGGACCAAAGCCTCGGGACCCTGCACCCACATGAGAGACCTGACAGAAACTCCTGGCTCCTGGCTTCAGATTGACTCAACTCTGGCTGTTACAGCCACTTGGGAAGTGAACCAATGGAAAGAAGATCTCTCTCTCCTTCTCTCTATAAATCTGTCTTTGCAGTGAACATAAATAAGCATTAAAAGGTCAACAAATAAAGTTTGGTGATATGACATCATTTCCGGTAATGAGGTACTCCTGAGCCCTAGTAGTACTCCTAAGAACATTGTGACATCAGAACAATGGAGCACTAAATAACCCTGGAACACACATCCCAGATGAGAAATTCTTTTTTCCATTCTCTTTCTCATCCTTAAACTACTCTCAGAAATAAACCTTTATGCCTCACTTTTCTGAACATATCTTGAACACAAATTTCAGAAGCTAGGGAAACTCTAATAATATAGTTCTGCCTTCATTCAGTTTACTTTTAGGTTAACTTTCAAGTATTGGCATAGGATACTGATTTGTCACTTCTACAA